CCTTATCTCTACTTGTTACAAGTCTACATTTTGGCTCGATCCTTCCAGAAAAGGTGTGTTTTGGGCCAAGGCCCCTATTCGTATTTGCCGCTTCGCACGTGACCATCCTAAAAGTAACAAATAATAATTACTGTACTTTTACTCAAAGTTCCAAGTATATTGGTGATTTTATAAAATTTGTTTTAAAATAGCAAACGACTCTTAATCGTTTTTTTTCTTTTCACTTTGGCAGAGACATGTAGAGTTCTCTAGGCGTTTTCTATGATCTGTTCTTTAAAGATACATACAAAGTCAATTTTTTGTCATAAAAACCATTCAAATGCCAGCATATAGTTTCAAGTAGTATAACTAAGGGAATTACCAAAAGGCATTGTTTATTTTACCGGAAAGTGATGTTTGAACAGATTTTTCTGCTAGCATTCTATGCTGTACAGTATGTCAATGGGGCAGAAAAGTAGGTCACGAAAGTAGGTCAAATTGACAACCAAAAATTTAAAGAAAGGAGCACTCTAAAGCTCTCTAATGGCTGATCGGGTGATTTATTCAGTTTATCCCTTGGCATGTCGAATTTCTTAGAGTCGTATAAGAAACTAGTAGAAGTGGTTTACATGTGTTACTGGGAATCCACGCTCCGACGATGCTCGGTTCGTATGAACCTTTAAAAATTCGTAAACCGATCTAGATAGAAACCAGTTGCGCTAGTAAAATAAATGTAGGGAATCCCTAATAATTAAACATGCGTTTTTACAAATAAAAAGGGCATCGATCGTGACGCGCTTCTTACACCAAACCACATACGCTTTTTTTTAATCACCGATCGATATATTAAAAAAATCTACTTACCTCCCTATCCAAGCAACAACGATCAAACAGTGGTTTAAGCGAGGAAACGACCGCCAACTTTGACGCCTTTTTCATCACTAACGCATGATGACCTATTTTCCCGCGCCTGTGATTCGTCAAATCTTGGAAGAATCTTGGAAGGCTCAACGCCTCGTGATTGGCTAGTGAGCAAATCTTAGAAGAATCTTGGAAGGTTTTGAGGGACGCGATTGGCTGATATTAGGGAGACTGATGCCTCCGGAGAGGTGCTATCCGGGCGCTACAGAAGTATCTATGATTTGAAAAAATCCGCTCACGTACGTCTAGGGTCACGTTCAATACAGTTTTTGCTAATAATTGCCTAAACCCTCATTTTTTGCATGAATTTGCTCCTTTAACCGCTTATTCTCTGTCACGTATATCTATACTATAACACAAAATGATAACTTAAAATTGAAAGAAAGAAATAAGAATAGAACATAAAAGATAAATTTAATTTTAAAAAGGAAACAAATACCAATATCTAAATTATTTTTTAATTCTTTCTTTTTTTTAATTATAATAAGAGTCCTTTCATTCTATTTTGCTTATATAAGAAGTGACCGCGGCTTCTCAAGAGCTTTGGATTGAAGAAAGCACACATTTTGACTGGACTAAGTACAATATTTATTCGATTTATAAAACGACAAAATACTACACTTCATTTTATAGATGCACTGAACATGCTGTTTATCCCCAGGGGTAAGAACACATCAAATACTGTTAAGATAAATTAGAAAACACACAAGCTTAAAGCTGGATTTGTTTGTTTATCATTCAGCATATCGCATAAAATTATTATTGTCACTTTATCCAAGGTATTCACAATACAAGATAGCGACCAATATATACTACTGTTTATTGTTGCCTAACATGTTGAATGGTATACATATCAAACAAAATAAAACATGATAAATTCACAAATCTGATTACTTTTTACGGGGTAAAGCAAAATATTTCGAATATTAAAAAAAGAAATACCCAGCAGTTTTAATGTTAACATATCGCTATAGAGTCCATAAACAAAGTTGATAATTGGAATGTCTCTAGACAATTCAATAATCCTGCATGACGACAATTACATATCTTGACGTTCCATAATAAGCAAACCGCACTCTTCATTTACATTTGTGTGTGTTTGTGTGTGTGCGTATGTGTGTGTTTGCGTGTGCGCACGCGTGTGTGTATGTGTGTGCGTGTGTGTGTTTATCTAACATTCATCTGTCAAAATCAAATGGTGGACTACTGTCTACATATCAGTTACCACACTACAATATATGCTTGTCACCAACCTGCAGTGCTGACAACTAAAGTGCTACATCTAAAAGTACTGCGAATCAGTACAAAATAATCAAAAATATTTCTACGTGAATACCTATTGGTCAAACAAATGCACAGATTGCGGTGCAGCTGCTGTTAATTGAGACTGTCCTGTCAGAATTCGCTGAGGCGTCAATGTCCTAAATGTCACGTGTGTCATATCCAGTGTCATTTTTGTTTGCACCGATAAATGTCATTTGGTGCCTGTAGTACCAGGACATTCTATCACCCCACTGGCTGTTCGTTTACCTCTCCGTACACAGCGAATGGCGATGAAAGCAATAAGGCACAGTGCCACCACTCCTCCAACTGCGCCTGCGGAGATCTTGAAGCCCTCAGACTGGTACCATGGTTCTTTTGAGGAGCTGACAACAGTCCCTGAAAAAAAAAGTAATGACACAGATTGTTCAAAAAGCTCAACGATTTCGTTTAAGATTATCTGTGGATATGTTTGGTACATCATGCTCATTTTTTTATTTTTCTTCCTGCATGAAGTAAGTTTTATTAAAGTGGATATTGGAATTTCGGGACAAGCTGCCCGTAGGTGTTAGGGTCTTGCATCACGGACCGGGGTTTAGGGTAGATGACTTCTATTGATTTTAGGTCGGGAGGTTAAGGGTCAAGGCCAGATGCACGTTCTACACGAAAATCTTGTATGCCATATATATGGCAAACTACTTAGCCTACCTGGCACCACCTGTGTTTGACAATTACCTCATTAATAGTTTATGTAAAACGTGGTAAACAAAATAGCATGTGAACTACTCACGGGGAATTCGTATTTAATTTGAAAAAAGTGAGACTCAGTTCAAATGTTCACAACCCTGCATTGCACTGGGCTTTAACAAATTACCTTGTGTTGAAGTCATCTTTGGCGTTGGTCCTTTGGTTCCAGGGATTGAGTACCCCCCAGGAGACGCTGAAACCAGTCCTGTGTTGTCAGGCGTAGGGTCCACAGCGACATTTCCAAGTTGTCCGTAGACATTTATAACAACTGGTAAAATCGCAGGTCTTGGCGGCTCTCCTCCATCCTCCGCCATAACGGTAATGTCATATCGGGGCTGTGTTGGGTAACGCACCACTTTAAGTTCTCCGGTGTCTTCGTTGATATCAAACGCAGCATCTGGGTTGCTTTCGTTGATAATCGAGTGACGAACTCTTCCGTACGACCCACTGTCTTTGTCCGTGGCCAGAAATTGTCCTACAGTGCGTCCCAGCGCGCGGCTGGCATTCACTGGAATATCTGGGAAACCAAACAACTGAAAAACTGGCGCGTTATCGTTGACGTCTTGGACAATGACGGCGATCTTGGTGGCAGCACTCTTGGGCGGTACGCCCTTGTCAGATGCCACTACTGTCATAATGAACTCCTTCTGCGGAAGACTTTCGTAGTCCAGCTTGGCTATCACTGATAGCTGTCCTTTACTGTCCATGTTGAAGAACCGTTCCGCTCTGTTGCTCCCAGAGAAAGCATACTCAAGCTTGCCATTTCGTCCTACATCTAGGTCTGTAGCGTTAATCATCGTGATGTTGTCTTGGAATACGATAACAAACCCTATGAGGGCATCTTCCTTTACTGTGGCATTGTACCAGTCATAAGCAAACGCTGGACTGTGATCGTTCGAACCAATTCTAGTAGAACAGTCGACACCGTCGTATTCATCAAGACACTCACACTGGTTAGGGGATACACAATCTCCGTTGCCGGAGCAGTTGGCGACAGCGCTGCAAATGGGTTCGTCACAGCGTTCACCAAGCCAGCCGGGAGAACATAAGCACTTGTCCAATGATACACACTCTCCATTACCTGAAAAGAAGAACAAGAAGTTTCTTAAAATAATACATTTAAAACTCAACGCAAAATATGAAGAAATGTGGCGAAAAAGGTATATACATTGTAAGGAATGGCTCCCTTGGTCCCCTTGGTTTTTTTAACAGGTACTAGTTCACACTGGTGCTCTTTGAGTAAGAGAGTGGAATGCTGTATTATAAATATTCACATTGGAAATATCATTGGTATTTAATGACAAATATGGAAAGAAGATAAGGATATCACCCAAAGCTTACACATACTGATAGTGTTATCGGTAATGAAGAATATATTCATAGATATTGTTTTGTATCTAATGAACAAAAATGACTGTACAGAACACGCTTACCGGAACAGTAACCGAGAACCTCGCACGAGAAATTGGAGCAATAATTCCCTCCATATCCTATGTCACACTGACACAGATTGGGTTCCAAACACTTGCCGTGTCCACTGCATTCGTTAACAGCCGAGCACGAGACAGTATTGCATGTATCTCCAGTGAAGCCTTCAAAGCACCTGTATTAATTATTATTATTATTATTATTATTATTATTATTATTATTATTGTGTAAGGGTGTCTAGCAATAATTGTTGTCGCAAAATTAAACATGCCAAAGGTATCAAAACGCGTTCAAGTTTTCAGCAGACAAACAACTACAACCAGCTTGGAACAGCGTAATCCACTAATTAAACTAAATACCAAACGTCTCACGAAGCATTCACTACAGTGTAAAAAGTGAGAATGATAGCGATTGCGTATCTAAACACTCAACATATGAAAGAGTTATTTTAGAAGTGTCTAAAATGAAACTTAAAATATGTACCTGCATACGGTATCAGTCCCATTCTCCCCAGAGCTGATGCATATACCGTTACCACTACAACCATTCAGTGCCGTACAGTTCTTCACAGTGGTACAGTTTTCTCCATGGTAACCGTCGTAACAGGTGCACGTGCCAGGTGCAGTGCATACGCCGTGCAGGGAGCAGCCATTATTTGAAGAACAATCGGGAAGAGAGCAGCTGTTTCCTTGCCAACCATTGTCACATTTGCATACGTCATAACCTTCACATCGCCCATGACCTGCAATGCAATATAAACCGTTTTGTTTGCAACATTGATAAAGCCTATCCAAGCAGACTGTGGCATAAAAAAGATGTTATTTTAAAGTGCTTTATGTTTTGCCATGGACCATGGTTTGCGCTTCAGTGCGCATGCAATTGGTGTAAATATTTACAAGAGATTTCTCTGTTCCGTTATGTTTGATAGGTTCTTTAATTTTATTGCGTTACGGGCGACATATTCCCTTTTGCAACAAATATCTCAATCAAAAGCCTAATAAATTTGGGTGAATGATCTACATGGAGCTGACATTCTTTGATAATTTGTTGGGCGCAGAGGCTCCGTTAAAACCTTACTTTAAAGCCGAGCTATGTATTAAGGTGCCAACATGTGAAAACACCACTGCAGAAACTACGGTAATATGTGAATGCCTGATCTGAAAACACTTTTGATCTCACAGTTGAATTCAAATATGCCTTCGATAACCTACCTGAGCACAATGCCAGACTTTCACATGAAAACTCTGTACAGCTTGGCCCCGCCCATCCGTTGTCACATTTGCATACGCCAAAGTCCACGCAGACCCCGTGACCGGAACATTCAGACACGTTGGCACAGGTTGCAACGATGCTACAGTCATTGCCTTAAAATACACAGAAGTTGATGTCAACAAAGAGTTAAAATATTCAGCCAGATGTCAACAGGGAAGGGTGCTTTACGTGAGTAATTCTTCATATATTTGTATAATGATCGTTTGCAAAAACCACTACATAAAGCCTATAATCAAATTCGAGAAGTTATTATATTTCAGTTGAAATTAGTCAGAAATCATTAATACTTAAGAAAAAAATTAAACTCTAATTTCAAAACCCACCAACAAAGCCTGGTTCACAGCGACATCTGTTCGTCTTATAGCACACGCCGTGGTCCTCGTCTGTGCAGTTGTTCACGTAGAAACATGTAGCTGAAACAAAACCAAAGCCATAGCTGTGAAACGTCACAATTATGGGTCTCTAAAATCCTACTTTTTGAATACGGTTGCAAATGAAAGACCACAAAATATTTTTGTTTTCAATCAAGGTGAGACTCAGTGGTGGTAAATATTTAATGGACACCATTTTAATTACTATGACGAATTGTCCGGTTGCATTGTTATCTTGGTATTTATCGCAAAACTGAATACTGCAGAAATACGCTTTTCTTTTAGACTAGCAATATGGTTAAAAAATGTATTAAACGTACACTCGTACGTAAGCATGAAATTTTGGCTCAATTGTAAAAAGTGATATTTTGAGTGCTTTTGGATAAAGAAGCCTGTCGGAAGGTCACAATATGACCGCAAAAAAAAACTTTTTCAAGATAAAACTTGTACTATATAATTTCACGCTTTAAGATATAATTTACTAATTGGAAAATGATACGGTAGGAATGCGGAATCAGTAACTGCTTCTTTTGGGCCTACTTCTATAAAAATCGAAAATGACCTCCAAAATAAAAAGCAGCCGTCCACTCGCTCTAGTAATATTTATATTATAGCAATTAAGATGTTTCATTTCATTACCTTTCTGGTCACAGGCAACTCCTTCCCAGCCGACTTCACACACACAGAAACCACTGTCACATGCACCGTTTACGCATACACCGCAGGAACCTTAAATAACCACAGTAACATTTGTTACGAAATTATATACTACGCTTAAATGAGCAAGAGTCCATCAAACAGTTATGATGGAAATTTCCCTTAATTTAACTTTCTCTATTTTATTAAAAGAGAGTTTCTGATACATTTTTTATAATTTTATGTATAACATTATTATTTATTTGTTATTTAAAACGGTTGTAACGTGTCAATTCCTAGCCACTAGACAATGGTAAATATAAGCTGTAAAAAAGCAATTATTTAGTCTTGTAGCCTCTATGTACATGTAAAATAAAAAGGTTATAAAATAAAAAAAATATGTTCCAGACACACTTACCAATGGAACAGTCCGATCCTGTCCACCCACTGTTACATTCGCACGTGCTGTTGATGCATCTGCCTTTGCCGTTACATTGACCGGGACAACCTGGTAGAATATACACGTGGAAATCAGGTTTAATTTACAATTACATATATATATAATATAAACATGTACATGTGCACTAGGATTTTTCAATCAATTAATCCGAATACTGCACAACTAATATTATATTATCACAAACATATCTAAATAAGCATCACTACATGAAAAAGTTAATGTTTAGATTTAATGTACCACTTACCGCTTTGGTATGCTTCTTGGTTGGAGAAAGTGATATCTTTCGTGACCAAGATGTCATAGACACACTCCTGGAGTAACACGCCTTCCAGTCCTTTCCCCTGACATGCCGTCTCTGCAGCCTGGAAAATAATTAACGGCATTTTAGCGACACAGTTAAGTGCATTCATTATTCGCCACGTCCAGGTGCTTGAAAGCAACCGAGTTTTCACCCGTAACCATAACAACAAGCAAATTTGACAGGAATAATGCTGAATTGAACGGTTTGGGACCTAGTTTATCAATGGACAAAAAAAGGAAGAATTTATTTGATTCTTACAGGCATCTGCTCTTAAAATAAAATATCACCAGAGGACCATTAGCGTATATTACTCAAACGCGTATCTGAGGCGTTAGAAATGTTATGCAACATATTTCAACAATCCAGTGTATACTTCTTTCAGTGACACGGCAGTTTTAAGAATAATGATGCAGAGTCTGAATTATAAACTTAAACCATAGGACTGTAATTAGATTCACGCTTTATTGGACCAGATTACCTTCTTCTCAGCCTGAGACACATTGACAGGAGCATAGGCCGGATTGTATAGACTGGGGTCGGTGTAGGAGGGGTCCATGACGTCATCAGCGTGGAAGTTAGAACTGTCCCAGGACCAACTGCCGTATAGTCCAGACCCGGAAAACGACTCACTAATTCTCCCTGTGATGAAAACGAATTACCTATTTATTCTTCAATTGATTCATTTATTTTTCACCCCGTAACAGAGGTGAAAGATAAACATTTATATAAGCAAATCAAAAACTGGTATATACACGTACATTTACCGGGTATATCCGCATAAACAATGTACATATGCAGTACTAGTTGTTGTATTATTTTTCCTTATGACTCACATGATTCGGCAAATTCCACTGCCTTGTCCTTGGTGACCACGGTGCCGTTGGCCAGAGTGAAGTCGTTATCCTGGTTGTCATCCATTAGTCCACACAGTCCAGACGTCTGTCCCTTAAAACTGGCAGTTAGACCAGAACGCACGTTAAGGAAGAGACGCCCCATCACCGGACTGAACCGGACGTCTACTGTGACGGATACACCTAGGGAATGTATCTTATTTTTATTATGAGTTCATATACATGGTACATGCCTTAAATAATGAACTTTTCAGTGAAGAATATACATTCAGCGGGAGACGGCAAAGGTAACTTAATATCGTTGGCTGATATAAAATGCTGAAGTTGAGAACCTGTAGTTGTAGCCTTCAGAGACGTACACGTAGACTTCAAGGGTATAATAGAGAGCTTTCGCACCTGCACGTTTAGGCGACCGACTACATTTAGCTATCCGTAACCGTAAAATGACCATCGTTTATTTTTTCGTGATTTCGCAGAAAGACCCGGTTAGCCTTTACGGATAGTCGGATTGTACAATAGCTGAGTAGGCTGATACATGTTTTACGTGCTGTAAAGCCTCGGTCACAACCGGACGCACGAATTTCAGGATCGTACGACCCCTGCGATTTTTGGGTGTTGCGGAGGCCGTGGAGGTCGTAGAGGTATAGGAAAGTCTGCCTTGCGAGTCGCAAGGGCCACATAAGATGTCCTTTCAGGCAGGGACGCTAATTGCAAGGAGCGATGGTCGTGGAAATTGTACTCATTTTTTGAGTTTGTCTTGCTTCCTGTGTACGTGGCACACACTCACCACTTACGAAGGGAATGCAATGCGCGGCGAAAGTAGTGCCCTTTTGCGTCAGTTTTGCTTCACGTTTGTGGTGACATACTGACGGCGTACGTCAGTTTTGGTTCCTGTTCTCCTCTTCTTTCTTCTTCCTTCTCCCTTTTTTCTAATATGTAAGCTTCTTTCTCTTGCCTTTTGGAGGCATATTAGAAACTGAATTGAGCAAAAATTTGAAAATTTTGAAAATTGCTGTACACGTTACATAGTCGATGTTAATTGTAAAGACGCAAGCGTTCGTCGTGAGCACGCCTTTTATACACCAGGCGTGGGGGTGACGCACGTGCGACGCATTCCCGGTAGGCTCTCGACTTTGTTCGTTAGTTGTGAGGGCGTGCGCCTTACTCAACACGCAAAGGGCACTTACTCCTTCATTGCTTGCGACGTGCGTCTTCCACAACGCGCGTCTCTCTTGCTAACTCCGTGCGAGGTGAGCAAGTTACGCTTGCGGTCTCGCTGTTCGCAGGCTATTCGTAGAAACTTTTGGACATGTCCAACATCCTCCGTCCGTGCTTACGGGCTGTCTGCGAGCTCGAAATTGCGTAAGAAGGCTTTGCGTGGGACGTGAGATTCTGCGCAAAATTTGGACGCAAACAGCCCGTAAGAGCCCGTACGGCCGATTGTGACCGAGTCTTATGCAGAGACGTTAAATTAGGTCATACGCCATTGGACAGGTTAGGTAATTTTGGAATGGTCTTCCATACGCAGTTCATGGAGATCCGGCTTACCCCGTTAAAAGGTATCTGTTGAGTCCCTTCAGAGGAGCAAATATGAGTACCGAAGAAGAATAATTCAACAGGAGAATGTCCCCTGCAGGGGCGTAACCAGGCATACGCACGGATGCACTGTGCGTACAATTTTTTGAGCCAACCATGATATTATTCTCCATAAATTCAGTGTATTTTTCACGGAATATAATTGTACCTGGGAATTTTCAAAATCTGTGCGTACAATTTTAAAAGGTCTGGTTACGCCCCTGCCTGTGCGGGAATGCGTCGAGTGGGAGTTCGGAAACTTTTATTGTGAAACTTTGCCTTCCTGGACTTTCGAAAGAATTAAAAAGTACTGTTGTCTCCTGTAGCCAAGCAGTACTTGGTAGGTGGTCTTCTGGCCAACTGCCATACCTGTGTGTATGGCAATCAGATGAGTCGGTACTTTTAACTAGATCCTCCAACCTTGGTGGACTATTTAGCATGAACTGTACACGTGTACATTGTGCGTATGGAAAATTAAAGAGTAAAATGTAAAATTCATACCGCAAGCAAACATTTATTTAAGTGAAATCTTGAATAAAAAAAAAAAATAATAACAAAGATTCAGCCCATGTGTATCTTGTAGGCAGCAAGAGCCTAGTATGTCAATTCAGTTTTTCTTCTTAACCAAAGACAAAACCATCTTAATCATTTGCTTGTCTTTCTTAATTTTAGCTTCTCGCTCTTTCTTTTCTAATTCAAAGTGTTCTTTCTCGAAGGCCAGCTTGTCTTTCAGGTAACTGACGTAATCTGCTGGTGAATCAGTACGGCGCTTCTTAGTTGGCTGCATGTTGTCACAATTTTCAGCTGAAAAAAAATAAGCGGGTCACCAATTAATGCAGCGTCAGTAATTGTTACTGATACAATAAATATTAATCAATATTTGCGATTAGAGACAATTTCATGTAAAGAAAGATGTGCTGTCCTTACTTTTATTTATAATTCATTTATTCAAATGCACAAAACAGGACGCCATGTGACTTTCGAAACAAGGCTTCATAAAATTTGCATTAAAAGTCAAGGAGACGCCCTGTCAACTAAAGGAGAAAATCGAGCTACTAGTAGTATCTTACTAAACGGCACTTACCTTACGGATATCCTGCCTGTTATGCGTCAAGTGCAGACGGCTAGTCTACAGACCACTTATAAAGGCATGTGTACTCGTAACAACTGCTCACAAAATGATGACCTAACAGTCTTATAATACAATCAGTCACGCGTGC